AAAGAGGAATTCTTGATCTTCTTGTTTAAAGACCACTGGCCCAGTAGGCATGACTCTTGCTGTGTTGGTTTTGCTTTTGCTTGTAGACCTGCCCTGTTAAAAAATAATAGTTGGCAGAAGGCTCCGAGAATACATTCATTAGGGAGCTGTGATCCAGGCGGTGCAGTGAATGATTAGACTGGAAAATCACACTAGATCTGAATCAACAGCTGAGGAGGAAGAGTGGGCCAGGGCCTGATCTCTACTCTGAGTAGTACTTGTGTTCAGAGTTAGTGCCAGTTATCCCAGTCAACTGGGTGCAGTGTAACATTTGGGAGGCCCTTGCTTTGACTTAAGTGAAGAAAACAAAGTTGAGAGCTTTTGTTGTCCTAAATGAAGAATTAAAGTGGACAATGCTGTGTTGTTTCTACCCGTTTCACCCCTTCAGGACACAGTGTCATAAATACTAACAAACTCTTCTCTGTAACATGAGAAAGGGTGTCTCACTCTTGGTGTCATTTTTATTTCATGACCAAAACATAATCTGCGGGGCCACATTAGAAGTGAAACACACAGACTGTTCATTTGTTTTTATCACTCTGTATTTTCCATAAGGAAGTCTTAATTCCATGTTCAAACTATCACTGACTAAACTTATTCAGCACCAACTCACTGAATTCTCTGGTTACCTCTTAATACTTCTATACATGCTACACATCACTGAAATTAGCTGTTATCTTTCGGATTGGTATTACTGAAGACAGGACTTAGCCTTCTATTTCTCTTAGATCTCCTCAGAGACTCAAATAAAATGCTAATAACAGGTAGACTAAGTGTGATTTTTTTGTTGTTGTTATTAAGGAGACAAGAAATTTTTAAAAATAGAGACAGGTAATAGTAGAGAAGTCATTTGAAATATGTTAAACTGCCAAAGAAGCTATTAATTTAACAGTGCACTTATGGGAGACAATTTAAAGAGCACGCCCTACTACAGAAAAGACTGAGTGGATGAGTAACAACTGTTCCTGTGATTTCAGTTGAAATAAATTTGGGACATCAAAGGACTGGTGTATGAATAACTTTCATGCAACTTCTATATGTCTAGTTTTGTTCAATTAGACTGAGGGGCTCAAGGAAACTCTTTGCAAGTTCTTGGTGTTCTGAACAAAAAAATCAGACAAGACACACAGAAGAGGTAGTGGGGATGTACATTTACTGAAGGTAGAGAGTATGCTCTGCAGAGTGACAGCAGATCAATGAACAGACTCACAACAGCCTGAGGGGAGAGAGAGGAGCCTTGTGAATCTAAGATCCTGGATTGGCTTCCCTCTCATGCAAATAAGGGATGGGGACAGTTGTCCTATCAAAAACTCTCTTGGCCTGGCACCAGAATTTGACCGCCCTCTTGAGAGACTCCTTTAGTTTCCGGTCAGATGTAAATGAAGAATCGGAAACAGCACTTTTCTGACTGGTTCAGTGTAGAAAGGGTGCTTGGAAGCTGCAGAAGCATCCCAGATCTTGTATCCTCTTTGTGTTGTTTGGTTCTCCATGACGTGGCTAGATTCTGCCCAGTTGTTTAGTTTTGGCCCTAATATCCTACATTGTTTCCCCCAGAGACATAACCCCCAAAATTCTTTATGGAATTTGGAGGGAATGGAGGTATCTTTGTTTCTCATAGCTACTTGCTGTGAAAGGGGCTGTAGGCCCTACTTGCTGGGGATTATATGCTCTCTGACTGACTAGCTCGGGATTTTGAGGTTTACCAGCTGGACTGGAAAGAATCTATCAGATGATAATAAGAAGAGAGCTCATGTTTGTCTGTCAGGAATTGTTAAGCTGCATGTTTAATGGGCAATAGCTCAGTGAATTTGTTAGAAGAGAAATGGGCTGTTGTCTGGACCACCAGCAGAAGCCTTGAATGGATAAATTTCACTGTTAGGTTGAAGGGGTAAAGGCCAAATATGAGAAGGAACAGGATGACAGTGAGTAGTCCCAAGATAAGAAGGATCCAAGTAATGTGAGGGAGCTAAGTTCATTTTAAGGTCTGGTTGGCTCTTTTAACTTTTCCAGAGGACTAGGGTGGCCATGCAAAATGGAACTGCTATGTTATTCCTAAAGGCTTTGCTGGCATTAGAAAACTGCCCCCAATTTAAATCTCTTCCTAGTAAGGGAATAGGACACCATGGGTCAATCATAAATTTAAGGGTTTCACTTGACATTCAAATTGACACATCAAAGCAGGAGTAGAAAATCTCTGACTAGGCCTCCCCTCAAGCTTAATTATGACTATAGATCTAGAGGACAGTTTTCCAGAGAAGGAAGTTGAAGGTGTTAAGCGACCCCTCCTCTAAAAGGAACTGAATATCCTTACCGGGGATGTCAAGGGTCACCAGGATCCGGTCACAGGAGATGGAGGGCTACGTGCACAGAGCCATTCCATTTGTCCCAGATTTCTTTTGTTCTCTTCATCAGAGAAAGGATGTGAAGATTTTGGATCACTATGTCGCTCCTCAGTGCCACGAGCCAGCTGCATCAGCTACCTGACCCATGGAGCAGGGCTGGATGGTGGCCTGGTACAGTCATGTGCCCAGTGTCCAGTTTCCTGGCATTTCAAACAGGAGCTCTTTGTTTGATTGGCCCTGGGTTTTTTTTGGATGACTCAGCTGTGCCCAAAGTCATCCACGTGCTTGGGTGTGTAATTGTGACAGCTGTTGGGAGCCGCGGCCGAGCCCGGTCGCCTTACTTGGCGGACGTGAGGCCTGTAAGAAAGAGCAAAGCCTGAGCTAGATTACCCCTCCCATCGAGTGTGCTAAGACCCCTCCCATCGAGTGTGCTAAGATGGCGCTTATCTCCTGCTTCCTGCTTGGTAAACAACCCGCTCTGTAAGATAGTCTGCCTAGCAACAACTGATGTTAGCCAATCAGCCCGCATCGCGCGCTTTGAACTGATTGGCCACTGTAACCCTATAAAAGTGAGTGCCTCTCCCGCCACGAGAGAAGAAGCACGGAAGGAGCCGCGGAGAGCGGACCGGTAGAGGCTTCGGGACAGACTGTAGAGAAGAAGCACGGAAGGAGCCGCGGAGAGCGGACCGGTAGAGGCTTCGGGACAGACTGTAGGGGAGAAGCACGGAAGGAGCCGCGGGGAGCGGACCGGTAGAGGCTTCGGCCAGGAAGAATCCCGGGGCAGACTGTACGGAGAAGAAAAATAAAGAAAGCCCAGCCACTGCCAGATCTTGTCGTGTGTTCTTCCTGCCGGCCGGGAGCGACACCGACAGACAGCCATAATTTTGCCTTTGTTCTCCTACTTTTTACTCTCTTCCAGATTCAGATTGTTGGACATAGAAAAGGCTGTGTCCAGAAACTGGGTCACAGGGGTCTGGAGACCCATGCGAAGCTTTTGTAATTTGTACTGAATGTTGGACTGATCTACTCATGAAATGCTGTCCTGTTAGTGCGTTTCCTCTTTGGACAGTGGAGGTAAATTTACATATGTATGAAACCTTTTAATTGGCTGTGAAAGACAACCAGATTTTCCTCTTTGCCTTATGTAACCTTTCTCATCTTTTTATAGTAAACAACTTTCCTAATGCATCTTTTTATTCTTGTAGTAAGAGTGGTTGTCACTTTAGACCTCATGTCTATTTCATCCACAGTGTTATAGTCCTAATTTGGTTCTGCTGGGGGCTCAGTAACTTTGCCAAGGTGATTCCCTCTTCTTGCAGCATGTTATTCATCTGCCTCCCTCCTAGACTCTTCTAAGATTCTTTGTTTTTCATCTGGGGCACAGCAAATAGCCAAAAACAGATTGTACATCTCACCATGAGAGGTTAAAGAAGGGGTCTAAGTTTGAAACCCATCAGCAACCTACTAGGATCTTCTGAAAACAAGACTAAACATTTCTTGCACTGTTGAATATTTTCCACTGAAAAGTAGCCTCAAGTACTCGTGCAGCCGCCTCCATTCCTGGAACCTGTCTTAGGGGCAGGAAGAAGTGTGAGTTGGAAGAGTGAGAAACTGTCTACTCCAAGTGTGTCCTGTGGGACTTAAAAGTTGTGTGAAGAGCACGAGTGGGGTGCTAGGTAGTACTGGGCCTCTCTCTGGAGCTGGCTGGTGATGAAGTTTCTGAGTGGTCACTTGGAGAAGGTAGAATTGATTTATTAGCTTAAGGATTTTAAGGAGGAGGTAGGGGAGACCTCCCACTGTGTTTTCTTTCCTTAAGCATACAAGAGAGAAACAAGTGGGCATATGATGAGGGATCATCTACAATATCAATCTCCTTTTGGGAGGTCTCTTTAAGGAGTGTATCTCATGGGCCTTTGCAAAGGGATGGTTTTTGGTAAAGAGCAATAAAAGCCTGAACATAAGAGATTTCAGATCATTTTCCTTGCCTTTCACAGGAAAGATCTAGCTGAAGAATAGTTATAATTTAGACTGCTGTTCAGTATTCATTTCTCAGCATTTCCTAGTGCACACTAATAGGAACAGTAAGGTCAATGGGGATTGGCAGGGTGTGTTCTATCATCCTCATGGGACCTATGGAGAGAGAAGACTAGGTGTCTCCACAGAAGGACAGAGACCCAGTGAGCCCTAGAAACTCCAGGGGTCTCTGGCAAAGTGAGTGGCAGTGGTGTCCACCTCCCCTTTTTCCTCTAGACTCTCAATAGCCTGCAACCCACGATGACTCCTTAATCACTGTGACTCCGTAGCTACCTAACAGTTTACCTTGAGTGCCAGTCAGGCAATGCGTTTGTTTATGTCACTCAGGCAGGTGTCATTTCAACAAGTCGATTCTTGTACTGAATAAATTTGATAAAAATCATTTCTATATTTCCGGTTATCTTATAAAAATTAATTAAAAAATAAGAAATTTTTAGTCATCCTGTATGTAAATAATTGGACTGGTAAGTGGTTAAATACCAGGGTAGAACCTCCTACCGACTCCTTCTACTTGAGAAACAATATCCCTCCCATGTATCCCAATGTTAAAAGTGATTAGTAATGGTGAGTATTATTATTTTTTAGGGCAGTAGAAATAGAAGCCTACTCCTCACCATCTTAAGAAACAGCCTTGGAAAACTCCAGGTACTGCACGATACAAAGGTTGGGTCTGTTACCTACTGGCTAATGTACTCCAGCTCTATTCCCACGTACTCATTTCCCTTCATGTCTGTTCCTCCTGCTCTGATCAGGCCCTCAGGCACATGCTCCTAAATTGCCTAAATTTTTGTTAGAAGAAACATTCAGCAGGGAAGAGAAAGAGGCCCCCATGCTCCTGAAAGTGGAACCCATAACCCTTATCTATTACAGTGAGATTTCCATGAGGACAATTAAGAAACATGGTGAAAAGATGAATTGGGGATTTAAGGTAGGTTGAAGATTTAAAAGTGGGGCCCTTAGCAAGTGGCTCACTGGGATCAGCTAGAGATGAAAGGTCATCTAGGGGGAAAACTCAAAGGGGACTTTGATCCTGGTGAGCAGCCAAGGGGCAGTTAGGGTAGGTGGCTATTCAAGCAGGAGACCAAGTAACTGATAGCATGTCCCAAAAGAATGAGAAAGCTGAATAAAGTCCCAAGAGGAACCAAAGTGTGGGAGCAGAAAGAGCAAACAGAGACGTATTAAATTTTAGGTCACATACACATGAAACCTGTGCAGGTGTAGAAGTTTTCTTATTCTGGGCCTAATCTAAAATGGTCTATTTGGGGACCAGATTAGCAAGGAGTCAGTCTAGCAGGTGGTGAATCTGAGGCACACAGAGGCCTCTCTGTTGACATATGAGCCAAGTGTATGAGTTGTTTTTACTATACTAAAACCTTAGCATTCAGGTTTAACTGCAGTGTGGGCACTTTGAGATGCATAAGTGAGTTTTGGGTTGCAGTTTGGACATTCAGTCTAAAAGTTTCAACATACCTGCTCTAAAACCTCTTAACTGTTTGACTTGTGATCGTAATGAATGACCACACACTCAGACACACACAACCCCCCCCCCATACACACACACACAGAGTAGGGGAAAGAGAAGATAGAAAAAAATAATGAATTCCCCAAAGGGATCGTACTTGCCAACTGTTTTGTTTAAGTCGATAAAGTCAAGGAAAAAAAAAAAACAACCCTTAAACACTTAGTGGCTTAAGATAGTCACATTTATCTAGCTCAACAAATTGCAGAGCAGTGATTTAGATTGGGCTCAGCTGGGTGGCTCTTATCATTCATGCTCAGCCCATTCCACATCTGGAGACTGGTTGAGATCTTGAGGGTGAACTGGGTTCTGCACTTCTCATCCTGCAGTGAGCTAGCCCAGGCATGTTCCCGTAGCCTGTCAGAAGACCCTGCCAGGACAAGTCCTGATGTGCTGATGCTTTACAAGTCTGCTCAAATCACTTGTGCAGACAGCCTCTTGGACAAAACCCATAGCTGAGCTCACAGGCAGGGTGCATGGAGACAGTATAAAATTACAGAGTAAAGAATATGTGTGCTTGAAGAAAGAATTGGAGTCATGAATACCACCTCCCAACAAATTCTGTGCCAATTGAATGAATGACACCTCATTTAACTTCGTTATGACTCTAGAAGTTTTCATTATTGTCCTCATTCAATAGCTGTTCATATTAGAGAGAAGACCCAATCAGCTGATAATTAACCCAGTCATTATTTCTTCCCCTGTCAGATATGGTCTTCTGTCTCCACACATCTTTTAGAGTTTCTTAAACCTTGGTTATTTAGAGAAAAATATTATGGTCATGATCTTTTTACCAAAAGGAATAAATATAAGTATGTAAGCTATGTTCAAATCAAAGGCAGAAGAAAAAGAAGGGAGAAGGAGAAAAGGAAATGAATTTTACTGCATTAATCTGAACACAAAAGGAATATTAGATGTATTGAGGGCAAGAAATGGAGATAGCTCAGATGATCCTAAAATGAAAAGAATATACAGGAATAAAAATCAGAGCATTAGAAGGTCTCTTATCTTTCCAGGTATTGTCATACCTTATAAAACTAAAATAATTAAAATAAAGTAATACTGTCAGAAAAATGGAGAGATCAACAGAGAGAATTAGAAAGTGCAGAAGTAGACCAGAATCCATATAAGAATTGAGATGATAATAAAGGTAACAACACATCAAATCAGTAAAGAAATGATAGAATATTTAATAAATGATACTGAGATAACTGAATAGTCATCTATGATTTTTACTGTATTTCCAAAACACCTTATGCACCTTAGACACACACACACACACACTCCAGGTCTATCAAGGATTTTAAAAGTGAAATGAGATAATAACACTATGAAGACAAAGCGTGAGAATGTTTTATAAAATATAATTTCAAAAAGGGGAAGGTGTTAGATTTGATACAAAAGCCAAGTCTCACTGGGAGCCCTCTGAGAGACTTCAGAACACATCTCAGAATTATCACACCGAGCGATGAAAAGTCCATGGTATTTGTCCAGAACTCCTGTTGGTTGAGGCTCCTCCTGGGTCATTAACTCCCAGCACTTTGACTTCTTGCAGGCAGCCTACACAGTAGGCCAAGAAGATTGAAGGGCACATCAATGACATCTGATAAGGTAAGAGAGACAGATTATTTTTACGCTTCCACCGCCTGATTCTATACTCATGAGCACTGGGTAAGTCTGTGGAACCTTGTAACGTCTTAAAGACCACCCTGCAACTTGTAAAAGCTGTTGTCTCTCAGCTTCCACCATCATGGGACTGCTATCTTAGTTATTTTTCTCATTGCTGAGACAAAGTACCTAGTATGCAAAGTTAAAGGATGAAAGGTTTATTATAGCTCACAGTTTACAGAGGTTTCAGTTCCTAGTTGGCTGGGTGACATGGCAGAGGGGTATCACAGAGGAAAAACTTCATGGTGGGCAGAAGGCAGCAAAGCAGCCAAAGGAGTGAAGAAGCAGCAGCCAATGACTGCAGCAGCCCTGTCTGTTATTCTATCCAGGCTACACTCCCTTGGGGAGGCGTAGCATGCAGCCGGGGGAGGCCTTCCCATTCTCTTCACCCAGAACTATACCAAACGAAGCCCTGGACTAATTTAGTAATCACACATTCTGATGCCCAGCATCACACAACTGCAAAGCCTCACCTATGATCACATGAGTTTTGGGCAGTGGGAGGGGGGCATCTAGACACAAGCCATAACATCTTTAAAGGCCATTCTACCATTTTTGAGGTTAGCTTTCTTGGGTGATGGAATTTATAGTAAGACTCATGAAGGGCATGTGTTTAAGCTGTTTGCCTCTCTTGTGCAGTAAAATGCATTCCTTGTTTGGGAGCAGTACTGTATGGAATCCTCGATCACCTTTGGATCTTAAATCACAAGGAAAAGCTGACTGAACTTCAACTTGATCTACATGTACCACCTTCTACTTTTGGGCTACTTATGACCTGCAGCTTTAAGGGTTACTTGACAATGGATTAAATCATTGTGGTTTTTCCTTAATTACCATTACCACAAAGTGATGAAATTGTCTCTCATTTTGAAGAAGATATCTTGAATGTCTCAGATGACTGCACCCTACAAATCTTTACTAAGATTCAATGAGGTCTCTGAATTTTCATGAGTGTTATCTACCATCTGGCACAGACGTATTTTACCAAAGTATCTGGGCTGCTTCCTACTGTTTTGTTCAATGGATGTGGTCTAATCAACGTAACAGTGAAATCCTAGAGTACGGTGAAATGATCAAGTTCTGACAGACTAGGTTAAGAAAGCCAGCAAGATGTCAGTGGAAGTGTGTTCCTGCTGGGTGAAAGTAAATTATTTAGTGGTGTCTGTTCATTTATATAAGAAAAAGTGTTTGCCAGTTTGTCATCTGCATTATCAGACTCCAGGGATTGTGATTTTACCCATAAAAATGGACCACATCTGTAACAGTATCTGCATATGAAGCCACTACCCTGTTAGGTTTCTTTAAGTCTGTTTATTCTCCCTAATCTGAATCTTTTCTGCAGAACTCAAACTTATGGGAGTAAAAGGGGATATGAATGAAATCAATTCCAACATATTTTTGGGTCCTCAATGCTGGCATAAATTCTGCACTTATTCCTAAGATAGGGTATTGCTGTGCTTTACAATTTGGAGGGGTCCTGTAATGACTGCACAACTCCTTAGGGATGGCTAAGTGGGTCCACATGTAAGGAATGCTAAGTATCCTCTAGTGACTAGAAACTGACCCTAAAGTTGTATCAGGTAAACAAACCAACCTTAATAGACTGCCCATCTATTTCATTGCTATAGGTAGATGATCTATGACCCACCTCAATGGACCACTGAAAAGACAGTCATTCTGGTCAGTGCTATGGCTTTACTACCTCTGGTAGTAGCCACACATACTTCATCTCTTATGAGCAACTTGGCCTCTGTCATTCTGGATCTTACCACTCCAACTGAAATCAGGAGTCCTGTCCCAGTGGCAGCATCGCACACCTTCATCCTCAGTCTCTTTGACAATTTTGTATCTAGGACATACGGCAAAGGAGTCTGAGAAATGGTATATTGGCAATCTAGCTGACATAATAGAAGAGAGAGCTGAGAATAAATGACAAATATCAAGAGAACAGCTCTTCACAATTCTCTGGGAATTTGAAAAAAGACTGAGCCTATGCTAATGATTAGGGTACATGAATTAAAAATGGGGGAAGGGAGTATACAGAAGATGCTAAATCTGAACAGCTATGGAAGGTACCCCTTTGTTTTAAAAAGGCCATTGAGTTCCCCCAAAATGGGTATAAAAGAACATATGTGACCCCAAATAGCAGACACTTATCAAGTACGAACCTTTGCAGTCAATTATGTCACTCAGTGAAATAGGAAATACACAAAACTCTATGCCACTTTAATTTGTGTGTATGTGTTCATGCATATATACACAAGTAAGTATAGATGTATGTACATGGATATGTACTGGAAAGAAACATTTAAAACTGTTAAAGGGGTAGTATTACAAATGATTTGCCTCGTCTTCTGTTTTTCTAAAATTTTTACAATTATTTGCATAATTTAAAAAGCATTAGCTAGTAGATGTGTTCTTGACATCTAAAACAGACTAGCACCCTTACTGTTCTACAATTCTGGAATTTGTATCTGAGATAGTAAAAACACTAGTAAGTTCCAGAGTTACAAGAAAAAAAATATGTTTCCCAAATCCTTAGTGTGGGTTTGACTTAAGAATTCTAGAAGTAAAAGCTAAGTCTAGACAGCAGGCTCAGTAACTTTTCACTACTACTTTAATGTTAGCGACAAAAATACTCTCTGTTTTTTTTAAGTGAAAATTTAGATAAACCCCCTAATACCTGAAACAAGTAAAAATGAAGCTGCATTATTTGAAAACACACTCCAGCAGATGCCTGCACTCTAGAGAAATCCATTTTAAGTCCACTGACTTGGTCCAACCTCCTGTTTTCTAGAGGAACAGACAGGTAGGTCCCTGGAGGGAACCTATCTTCCTTGTCTGCAATGGAGTTGTGCCCCATGACACCATGCAGCAGTCTAAGCCTATGTTTCTCTTATTACCACTGGAAGTTAGGAAGTGTAAAGTGGAGAATGAAATTGCATCCTGAGGAACTCTGAGACCTGCAAACCTGCGTAACCACATAAGCTTCATACTTCCATACTCAACTTATCAAAACTGTCCTTCCTGAGGTCCTCAGTGACCAGTTTGGTTGCCAAATCCATGAACGGTTCCATTGCTTTTCTGATTGCTCTCACCTTTGCCTTTTCCTTGGGCCATTTTCTCACTGTACACCTTCTCATAACCCTCCCACGCTTTCCCACTGCATCAACTCTTACACTTAAACTTCACCTGGGAAGCAAGATTAGGATGACTGGGGGGGGGGACCTATTCCCTGAGGTCTTGTGGAGGAGGGAACCTTGCAAAAGAACCTTGCAAAAGAACCTTGAATCTCAATTTGAGAAACACTAAACAATGTGATAATGAGTCTCAAAGTACGTCACCAGCCTAGATCTTTCTTTTGAGTTCAATGCCTAAAATTTCAAATCCTGATTAATTTGGATGGTCCTGTCATCCTTAAATCTGGCATATTCTCACCTGCTTAGCCCCAAGTTAATTGTTATTTTCCTGTACACCCTATTGTATGTCCTCTTGAGACATTGCTACAGGGCTAGACCCACGTCTTCTGTAATTATGCACCCCACCTACTTTACATTGTTGGCCTCTGTCATCTCCTTTTGAGACAGAAGAGAAGCTCTTGACAGTCTCCAGGAGATACTTTTCATTTTTGGCTCAGCTACCCCCTGGTCTTGCACCCAAACTTGCTTTAACAGGCACCCCACAGCCACGCTGTGAGATATTTGACTTGACTGCAGCAAGCTTTGGACTTGGACCTATCTCACATGAGTCTGCCATGAAGCTTCTCTGGATGACACAGCTCTGCAACTTCCAGAAATGAGTCCCCTCCCTACCCCTGATCAGATGGTCTGGTACTGCACACGTGTAAGCCCACCTTTTTAGTTCTTTATAAGTCATTTCCCCATTCCCTTAGTAGTGTCAGCCAGTGCGTTATTCCCCCATATACTGTAGCATAAGTGGTAATAAAGCCTTTTCTGGGTGGTATATTTGTGATTTCTGTCTCAAGCAGACATGCTGAGATGGTGCACTAGAAACTGGTAACAGTGAAGGCCACTGGTATCTAATGCCATCAGTAGCCAGACTTGGTAACACTGAAGGCAGCCAGCAGCACAGAATGATGGAGAACAACCAGGAGCTATCATTTCTGTGGATAGAAAAGGTCTTGAAACTTGCTGGTAGCTGCAAGTCCTCCAAGGAGGACCACTAACACTAAAAGATCTGTGTATTGCTGGCATTCAAAGCCCAGACTTATTAACATAAAACAAGCCATACTTTGTCAATTTGTGATTTTTATATATATTGAGCAAGAACCCTAAGCTGATTGGTGACATCTTAGAAGACAGTAAGGAGATCTCCCCACCCCTCCACTTTAGAGGGCCCTGGAGAAGAAGGGAGAGATCAGTGGTGAGCATCAATAGTGTGAAGAACTAGCCCATGTCCGATTTGCATCTATACTAGGCTGTAGACTCAACCTAGTCAGTGACATTTTCTCTCCCTTACTCATTTCTAATCTTGCCCAAAGCTAGGAAGAGCCACTGATTGTGTAAAGTTTTATTCTTTCTGAATCCAAGTCCAGTCACTCTGACAGCTGCTACAAGTTTCAATGGAGGGAAGGAGAAACTAGAACAATAAATACATAAATATGACTACATCCATTTGATTTGTCTAAAATATTATTTATGAAAGGTTGCCCAGGAGTCAGATTGACTGAAGCTTCAGAACTAATTGAGGGTTACGGAGTAGTAAGATCAGATCAATAAGGAGAGGTGTTGTAAAACGTATGACTTAAAGCTGAATATTGAGTCGCCTTGTTCTTTTTTTTTTTTTTTTTTTTTCAGTACTGGCTATTGAACCTAGGGCCTCATGTATGCCAGGCAACCTCTCCTCCACTGAGTATATCTGTAGCCCCGAGTAGTCTTCTTCTTTAAATTTCTTCACTTAATTCTTTCCTTGCTTCACTTTGA